AATCAGTTCTTGTTTAGTAAATCAGTCTCAAAACAAGATCAAACAGACTTTTTGGCTGGATATAAGATTTTAAAACTTGGTAAGATTGACAGTTTTTGCAGTGTAGGAGTGCATGGATATCTTTCTATTCTGTTTGGGTCATATTTTCCAACCTGTTCAGTTTTCTCTATCTTCTTTGACGTTTTCCTAAATATTACTTCAAATCATTTGTAACAGAACTTCTAAATAATGTCTGGACTTAACAACTACAATTTTTCTTCCTTCTCCTCTACCTCTGGGTCAGACTCTGGCTCCAACATGTAAGGCTGGATAAGTCTTTCCTTGTTGACATCTTTTAATTAATTTGTAAATAAATATCGGAGCTGCTAAATAGTCGTAAAGCCAATCAAACTAAAATGAACCCCTCTGGAAGCTCCCACTTCCGCACGTCTTCCAGGGAGTGGTGCTCTGTGGGGCTCCAGGGAGGTTCTATGTACAAATAGGCGGTGCTTTGTACCAGCATGCATTTAGTCAGCTACACTTGTCTACCACAGGTGATTTGTAGAGTTTTCAAACTTGCATGAATGAGTAAAAGCAACACTCTGGGTATGCTTTTGATGAGGAAATGACATAACATGATATAAAGCTCAAAAAAGCTTATTTTGCGTTATACCCCCATTTAAATATAAATAATGCTCAGATAAATATTAACTGAGTACATGTCATTAATTGTGGTGCTAGACATTATCTTCTATTCTTGCTGCTGTTCATAATTGTAATATTGTTGTATAAAGCTGCCTTCTCCGCACTTTTTTCTACTTCAGATATACATATGAACTGGAAGCCAGTACAGCAGGTGGCACTGGTGTGAGTGACAAATACACTATAGAAACACCGGCATCCTGCCCCACTGGGATCCCACCTCCGCACAACATGACAGTGTCAGGCCCTTACTCCATCTCTCTTGCCTGGTCCCCTCCTGGTGAGTCATCATCCAAGTGAGAAGGTGTTGGAACAACTTTATAGATGCATGAACTTGAAGTCCTTCTTTCTTTGTGTTTTACTTGTTTGTAACATTTTATCTTTCAGGTATTTAAAGTCAAACATCAAATAAAAAAAGCTTTTTTCTCTGAATATTTTTATTATCTTAGCTTATTTATTTCTATGTAAAGGTGCGTTTAGCGAGTTATTAAAACAAACCAAACCAGAGAGACAAAGGTCAGCATAAAGCAAAAGCTGTGAGTGGTTTTCCATTCACCTTCTGGCCTTTCAAGACCTGCACACATACACAGGCATACAGGAGCGTGCACTTGGGGCTGAGTTTCATGCTTATGGGGCAGTGATTGTCTGCCCTAACCCATCTATCATTGGCTATTACTCTCTCATTAGGTTGATTTCCCATTTCAGAAACTGCTTAAAGGGCCAACTAGCAAAGACACTCCACTTTGTTTTGTGTGTGTGTGTTTTGTTTCTTTATGTTTGTGTCTGTGTTTATGTATGAGTTTCTGTACATGTGTATTTGAAAGTGTGTGTGTGCGCATGAGCTTCATTGTGAGATATTTCCATAGGCAGGCCCATTCTATCGTCATTATGGGTTGATTTTAAAGGTGAGGAAATATCGGCTGGGTTCTCACGCTTGGTTAACTCCCTGAGCCCAGAGTCTGGAGTGTTTTCATCTTGTGTGTGTACATCTGTGTGTGTGTGAATCTCTGGCAGTGTGTCTAGCTGTGTATGTGTGTGTGCATGCATATGTGTTTGTTCTTCATATGCATAAACTGGCTGCCAAAGCACTGACGTATGGCTGTTAAAGACAGTTTATTCAAGATGTTGGGGTGTAGGATTAGAGTTTGTGGCTGTCTGTGAAGGTATGTGTGTGTCTCAGAGAATTAAGTCTTGTAATATATTTTTGTGGGGGGTTTTAGTATACAAGAATGCATGTGTGAATTTGAAATAGTAAGGATTATGTATGTGAAATGAACAACAGCAAAGCAGCTGAGTGGTTGTAAATAATAGAACCTAAACATCTCGTGTGTGCCTTATGTGAAGGTGTAGTGTCTCTCCATATATAAGCCCAATGTGCTAAAGTCACAGGTGTGTGTGTGTGTGTGTGTGTGTGTGTGTGGTATGTGTGTGTGCACATGGGCATATGTGAGTTGGGGGAGTGAATAATTGAAGTCTTTCATTTGTCTGGTAATCAGTTCGTTCTCGAGATATCTAGAGTTCATGAATGTTGAATAACCCATCACAATACAGTTGGCCTGAATTATGGAAAAACCTCCGGTGAGAATATTAACAAAGTCTAAAGGTGTGTGTGTGTGTAAGGGTGTGTGTGTGTGTGCTGGCTGTATACATTTGAGTGCATTTGTCTAGCTTTTTGAGGCCACCGTGCTGGAATTGTAAAGTCAAAATCTGTCAGCTTAGTCGATACAAATTATCTCGTTTAATTATGAATAAAACTCTGACTGGTCAGTGTTTTGTATCCTAATGATAAACGGTTATGACCAGGTCTTTATTGAAGATATTTGAAAACATAATCCTTATCTCATCTGTCTGAAACTAAACATCTTTTCTAATTCACAGCTCAACTACACAGCAGCCAGAATGTGAAGTACAATGTCCTGTTAAATCCAGGAAGCCCGAGTGCCATAATACATCACGCTGGCCAAAACCTGCACCTCTCTGTGACAGGTCTAGACCCTTTCACTCTTTACTATGTAAGAGTGCAAGCCTGTCAGAATGGCAAGTATTTTTTCACTTACATCATCCACAGTAACACAATTGGAGAAAAGAGGAGGTCCTGCAGAGAGAAACTAGAGTATGTATCAGGAACAACAGAGGCTATGGTGTGTAAAAAGTTTGTGAGAGTCAAAATTGGCAGGCCACTCAGACGAAAAGAAATTACTGCTTACAGAATGACAATGAAAGTTGTTAGAAATCATCCTGTTTGTTTTTTAGAGGGCTGTGGAGTAGGAAAAGGTGTGTATGTTCGCACTTTGGAGACTACACCAGAAGGTCTGCTGCCCCCTGAAGTAACAGCAGTTGGGCCTAATATCTTGGAGATTCACTGGTCAGCCCCCAAAAAACCAAATGGACTCATCACCTCCTACCACGTGTACAGGTAATTTAGAGCACTCAGAGACATACAACAAGTGTTGACTTTATTAATATATGAAATTAACTTATCAGTGTTAGATTTTATGTCCAGGAATTTTAGGTTGGCTCCAATGTTTTCAAATGCTTTCAGCACCAGTGAGTACAGAAGCAAACAGTAACACACACTGTGCATCATGTACTTTTAATATAAAATGTTTGTGCATATATAATAATATGTTAGATACATGGAAACAGAGACGTTTTGGTGATGCATCCTCGAGGTAACGTCTGTTTACCACTCTTCGCACGATGTGTGTGAATGCATGTGTGTGTGAGCGAGTGTGTGTGTGTGTGTGTGTGTGTGTGTGTGTGTGTTAAAGCACGCTGAAGGTCGTGGTCTGCTTGTTGACCAAAGACTGTGCGATCTGTATGCAGGGTCAGACCAGACTAAGCCCTTTAAGTCCTCAGGAAACAGGCATTAGCATAGCTCTACACACACTAGCACACACACACACTCACTGACACATCTGGAATCATCAGACTTAAGCAGACAGGGACTTGGATAAAACAGAAAAATGTCTGTCTTTCTTTCTCTGATACACACACCTGAAAGCCTGCGTAATCAAGACCCGTGGGCTTACCAAGACATCGGGCTGCTTGCATCAGCCAAGAGCTTAAACACAATGTTTAAGACGTGAGGCTACATTTTTCATTTCAGCTCCACAGAAGCCATTTTTAAAGTTTCAAAGTTTATTTTAAAGTAGCCCTCCTGCTTTGGAGCATGCTGTGGACTTAAATACTAAAAGGGTTGCTTGTTTAAGAAAGTTTTATACCCTTGTGGCTTATGGCTGTGAGTGATCAGTGCTGTTCCAATCCATCACTATTCACCTCTGAAGTGCCCTTTAGCATGACATCTCACCTATTCAAATGTTTTTCAGGCACCTATTCCAAGCCACCATGCTGGAGGTGTCTGTCTAAACCAGGGGTCTGCAGCCTGCAGCTCTGGAGCCACATGTGTCTCTTTAGTCCCTCTGCAGCAGCTCTTTGAAGCATTAATCAAAATGAACATGATATAGATATTTTTGTTGTTGTTTTTTATACCCACAACAGTAGTTTGACAATTCCAGTAATCCAACTTCCAAACTAAAGTGCACTCTCATTTTAGGAAATCCTGACGGATTTGTTTTGAATACCTATAAGACTATTCGCTGAGAGCAATTTTTTTTATTATTATTTTATGCGTATATAT